CATTTTAAAGGAGCAAGGGAACTGAGATCTGGTTCAGAGGGTTTCCAACCCTGTTCCAGGAAGCCGCGATATTCTTACAGTGAAGGCCCCCAGAGATGAGGGAAGGGACTTTGAGGCCTGGACACCACACCGATTCTGGCAACCCTCTGTCCCTGCACCCAAGAAGAGCTCCACTTTTAGCTGCTTTGCACATTGGAGTGCTGGGTAGAGTTTCGTTCAAGGGGGAAAAAAAAAAAAAAAAAACACTTCTAAAAAGAATTTTGAAAATTACACTCTTAATTCAATTCACTCATTGATTTACAGTTTAGGAAGCTGAGACCCAGGAAGGTTACTGAGTTAAGAATCCAGGCGCTGCATCTCTGTTCTTGCTAATATCAGCACCCCTACCCCCGCCCCCCCCACACCCGGATTCCTAGTAACCTGATCTCATTACCCCAGACCCCTCCTTAGCAACACCCTGACTCTCCAATCCCACATCCAGCCTGTCCTAACTTTCCAAAGGATTTTTTCCCCCCTAAGGACTTTTTCCTTCAGTTCAGCTAAACCAAATGATCTGATTGCTCTTTTTATTGTAAGACTGCAAACAGGCTGTTGCCTGGTGTCACCTGGTGTCTTTAGCCGTTGTGATTCTGATCATTTGAAAGTCCTGACTGCAGTCAGGCTTCAGTTTTTAATGAATATTATTGCCAAGGTCCAGTCATACAGTGTTCCTCTAAAACAACTCCAGTTGAGGTTCCTTAGAAGGCAGACAAGATTTTTAAAAAGACCTTTCTTACTCCCTGTTACTACTTCCTAAAAATCAAATATTACAAGGAACCAGTGAGTTGTCTGTAGGAGGGCGAGTTCCTTGTGAAGCTGGCAGAGTGCCTTAGAATTCTAAGTGAATGGGTACAAAGTTTCTTTACCTGATTCATGGCCAGATTACCTGGCAGATGGTGCTTAGGCCACCAGCAAAGGAAGAACACCTGAGGAGAGAGAGAGAAAGAGAGAGAGAGGGAGAGGGAGAG